TACTCGGCGGCGGGCGCGGGGGGGAATGAGACGGAGCGGGCCTTCAGAGGCTCCTGAGAAGCCCGCCGGCCTTCTGACAAGTTCTCTTTGTCTTCCCCGAAGACAAAGGGAACTTCTCAGAAGCCCCCCGGGCTTCTGGGAAGGCCCGCCGCCTTCTGAGAAGGCATGCTCCTTCTCACTTCCCCCCAGGGCTCGCCGCCGAACTACGGAGAGCCGCTGCTACACGCAGCTCGCGCAACCGATGGGATGGCTCTGCTCGCGGCAGGGAACGCGGGCGCGGCGCGGCCACCAAATGCATCGCACGGCGGCTGGGGGGCGATGAGTTGCTGTGTCCGCCACCTATCTCGGGCGCAGTGCCCGCCGGAGACATCGCGATCCCCGCGGCTGCTCTTGACGCAAGAGGGACCTCTGGCAAGGCAGGCCTTTGGCGCGCACACATGTTCTCAAGATCGCCCCCCGGACCCCTCCCGGGGTCCAGATTGAACAAGTTTTTCGAGACGCGCCCAGCCGTGGCGACGAGGATCCCCCCCGGAACGCGGAAACACGAAAAATCCCCCGCTGGTCGCGCACCGAAGGTCGGCCCGGCGAAAGCTCACTCTTACGCGTCGGCGAGCGGAGAGGCTTAGCTCCATACTGCCCAGCAGCTTAATGCCCGAGCCTGTGTTTGGAAGCAAAACCACCTGGCACTATCGCTATCGCGCAACAACTGAACGCCCACGCTTCAGATATATGTCACCCACGAACAAATAATGTATTGAGCCCGACCAGCAACTGAATGCCCAATGTGTGGATGATATATGAGCACCCCAAGCAGAAAAACCAACCCAGCAACTGAACGCTCAAGCCGCGAAAGATATTTGCGTATCGCCGCTCAATTTTTGACCACCTGGCATTAACGCTATCGCGCAGCAACTGAATGCCCACGCTTCAGATATATGTGCACTCCCAAGCAAATAATGTATTGAGACACAGCAGCTGAAAGCCCAATCTGTGGATGAACCATGTGCACCCCGAGAGGAAAAGTCAGCCCAGCAACTGAATGCCCAAGCCTCGAAAGATATTTGTGTCCCGCCGTTCAATTTTTGACCACCAGGCACTCTCGTTATCGCGCAGCAGCCGAATGCCCACGCTTCAGATATATGTGCACCCCCAAGCAAATAATGTATTGAGTCAGACCAGCAACTGAATGCCCAATCTGTGGATGATACGTGTGCACCCCAAGCAGAAAAGTCAGCCGAGCAACTGCATGCCACAGCCTCGAAAGATATTTGGCTCCCAAGCAAATAGTGTATTGAGTCAGACCAGCAACCGAATGCCCAATCTGTGGATGATATATGTGCAGCCCAAGCAGATAATGGTATGAGTCAGCCCAGCAACTGAATGCCCAAGCCTCGAAAGATATTTGTGTGTCCCACCGCTCAATTTTTGATGTTATCCACCCCGCACTTGAGGAAAGAATCACCGCCAGGCCGGGCGCCAGCTCAAGTGGAGTCCGGGCACCCCGGGCCGAACGTCTCCACGATGGCCCCCTGCGCGTGGCGGTTCTTCATGACCTTAGTGAAATCATCAAGGCTGACCTGGTTCCCGGCGAGCTTCTCGTGGGGGGCGTTGCCGTGCTCGCGGAAGCACTGGGCGGCCCTCTGGTGCGTCTGCGCCACGAATGGGAGCCCGCCGGCGCCCTGCCAGTTCATGAGCATGCGGATCCTGGACTTCGACTTGGGGTCGAGCCATTCGTGCAGCGTCTTGGCGTGCTTGGCGAGCTCGGTCGGGTCCTTCGGCGCGAGCGTCGCGCCGGCGCTGCTGCCCGCGCCCTGGCGCAGGCTGGCCGCCCCCTCCTTGGCCGTCTCCTTCTTAGGCGCGAGGCAGTACTCAAGAGCAGGCGCGATGCGACCAATTTCACTGTACAACGCCTTGCATACATCTTGCTTCATGATGAACTCATTCTGCTTCTTGATGTCCGGGTTCTGCTGGTGCTTGCAAAACTCCAAGGCTGCATGTACCCATCTGTTGATGCCGACCCCTCTGCGCTCCTCGGTGTCGTCCGCCATCTCGGTGGAGAACATGGCGCCCGTCTTCAATGGGGCACTCATCGTTGCCCACACCTGCTCGTCCGTCATGCGGGGAAACCTTGACTGGCCATATGCATTGAGGAGCTGGCACGGCACGGTCTCGAAACTCTTCAGCCACTTCCGGGCCGGCTGGTCGTCTTTGGGCCCAGGGCGCTTGGTGGACGCGTCGTGGGCCGCAGATGCCCCGGACGCTGCTCCGAAGTCATCGGGTTCTGGCATATTGCCGAGAAGTGGCACTGTGGAAGATCGGCTCGCTTACGATCAACGCGTTGTAATGGTACCCTCTTGCTTGTCAGCCTCTGCCAAAGACCGCATTGCAGGAACGACGAACGAACGAACGAACAAGCCGCACCTAGACGGCGCATTGGCACAGCAGAACTACGAACTCACACATGCGGGAAAAAACTAGCGAAAAAGTATGCGGCATGCAGGGCGAGAGGTGTGCAATCACCAGAAGACGTTGTACTGGTGACCCGCTGCTCGGGAAGCAACATGCAACGCGGGGGGGGGAGAGAGGGGAGAAGGGGGAGGGGAGAAGGGGAGGGGGGGAAGACGACGAGGACACAAGAATGTCATACTATTGTGCACAATGTCGCTCTACTGCCTCATTCCACTGTGATGTACTTACCAGAAGAGCTTGCAATGCATCAGTGCTGCCACCTGCCACTACGAGAGCCTTTGCGTGCATGTAGTTCGTCCACTGCACACGAGGGCGCCCTCGACACCGCGGCGCCATCCATCTCCGAGGTAGGACGTCAGAGCCTTCGCCACACTCGAACACCATAGCTCTCGGTAAGCTTCTGGGGCCGCACCGGGCAAGTTTACCATACAGTTTAAGCTGCCGTTCAAGTAAGGATGCTGATAAAGGCCGGACCTTCGCAAGCTCCCGAACTTCTGCGTTGCTCACGCGCGACTCAAAAGAAGGTAGGATTTTGTGAACTGACCGTAAGCACCCCGCCTGGAAGCCATCGACCCTGTCTCTGTCTGCTTGTAAAAGCATACAAGATTCCAACCCATACAACAGTTTCGAGAACACGCATGTTTCCAGAACCCTCGTCTTGCGCGTTCTGCTGAGATTGGCATGGCTCCAGACTCTTGACAAATTATGGAAAATCCCTTTTGCTTCCCCAAGGCGCCGCGTAAGTTCCGCCCGAGGCTTGCCATCGGTGCTGATCAGTCCGCCCAAATACACAGCATGATCCTTACATTTGATTTCTTCGCCGTCTGGCCCGTAAATGGTCCCTTCCGCCCGTATTTTGAGTAATACCGTTTTCCCGGCATTTAGTTCCAAGCCGTACTTCGCCCCCACAGCCACGACCGCGTCCAGATGTGCTTGAAGTTCGTCTGGTTCCCGGGCTACGAGCATTGTGTCGTCAGCGTACAGGACATCTCTGGTAATAAGATAATGGCGTGTCGGCCTGCGCGGTAATGTCGAATCCATGCGTTCGTCAACATGTTGCAAAAGTACAGACATGACAATGATAAACAAGTAAGGTGATAAAGGGCAGCCTTGCGCGATACCAGCTGCTTGTGTCCTCTGCGACGTCGTTGTGCCCCCATCTTGCACTACAAACTTCCGTGTCTTGTATATGCCTTTGATCATGTCGATCATCGCCGGCGGGATGCGAAATTCCCGTAAAGCATGAACAAGACCTTCTGGGTGGATCCGGTCAAAGGCCTTGCTCCAGTCCAGCAGTAGAAGGAGCAGCTTGCCCTCTTTGTCTTCGAGTGTTGCGTCGATCAGCCTGCGAGCCAAGAACAAAGCCTCGCTGGTGCCGCGTTTGGGCCTGAAGCCGTATTGGGATTCGCGCATTGCCTTTTCGCATCCTCCTTGTTTGAGCCTGTGTAACAATGTGCTGGCGAGTACTTTATATCCAACTGTAAGTAGTGAGATAGGCCGGTAGTTGGAAGGCAAGGAAGTGTCCCCCTTTTTGAAGATGGTGACAACTGAGGATTCTCGCCATTCTTGCGGGATGTCCTTCTTCTCCCAGCACGCACTGCACAAAGCCGTTAAGATGTCCAACGCCGCGTCGTCATCCCAAAGTGCTCGCCATAATTCCGGTGGCACTCCATCTGTTCCCGCTGCTCGCTGAATGCGTAAATGTTTAACTGCCCGCTTTACCTCTTCAACCGTGATGGGACCAAGCTCTATGGGTAAATGCCCCCCTTCGGCATTGAAGTCGGCGAAATGAGATCCGCCAGGAGGCGGTCGCCATTGAACTTGTTCAAGATAATCTGCCATAGTGTCAGCCCGTTCAGAGGAGTCTACTAGGCGGCCATCTGCGTCACGGAGTCGTCCGCATTTGTGCGCACGTCCTTTCCGTAAGCTTTTGATCATGTCCCACCCATTGCTCTCGATGCCCTCTGTGAGCCATCGATTTTTGTCTGCCTTGGCCGATTGCCGGATCATTCTGTTCAATTGTCTCTCCGGCGTCGTGCTGATTGCCATCCCTCTTTGACGTGCCGTGTTCCTCTCGTCGATCAGGTGGAGAGTACGGTCCGAGATCCAAGGTCGCAGGCGGATGCTATCGTGATAACAATATGCAAAATGTGGTGTCAGGAAGCGAAACGTTGCCGCATAGGACTCCTGAGCCAAAAAGCGGGCTACGGGAAGACGCCGTCACGGACGACGCAGCAATTTCAGGCCAGCGTTCTACCATATAAAAATAGAGAAAGTCCCAATCAGTATGAGGCGGACGAAGATCCGCCACCGTGCCCTCGGCACGAAGTGGACCCAAGGCTCATGCAATCCCGAGAAGTCGAGGATTGTAGTTTCTTAAGGGCCCAGACCCCCAAATTCCTGGGCGCTCTCGGGCGCTGTTGGGCGCTGTTGGGCGCTCTCGGGCGCTCCCGTGGTGTTCCGCGTGAGCTTCTGGGACGGTCCTCTCGCCCACGAGGGCCCCAAAACGCCTTGAGACGCCCACGAAACACTGTGTACCACTGAACGTAGCATGATGTTGTGAATGTTCCACGCGAGCACGAGCGCAGAATATAGGAGTGAAAATCCACGGAGTCCTTGGTGTGCATGAGTCGTTGACCGGCACTCTAGGTCTCAGCAAGATCGGTCTCGGCGTGCCTGAGTCGTTGACCGGCACTCGTTGTCGTCTTCCCACTACGTGGATAATGCACACGGCTTGTGTTTTACAGTGCGCGCTAGTGTGATCAGTTTAGCGTAGCAGCAGCATGTATGATATTAGGTTGGCTATCGTACTCACGCACTCTGTGCCACGCAGTCTTCTCGTATAGCAGTAGATGAGGAATCCAACGGGTTCAAGTCAACCAGGCGAATTTTCCATAGCAGACGTCGTGGCGACACGACGGCCTGTATGAGGAATCCAACGGGTTCAAGTCAACCAGGCGAATTTTCCATAGCAGGCGTCGTGGCGACACGACGGCCTGTATGAGGAATCCAACGGGTTCAAGTCAACCAGGCGAATTTTCCATAGCTGGCGTCGTGGCGACACGACGGCCTGTACTGAAATGACCTGAAACGAACTGTATCCATTATGGCTCAAGATCGAAGCTTGTGCGCACGTCCACTGGGAAAATAACCGTGTCTCTGTCACATCATACATCCCATGGCACATTGTTCAGGAGAGTCCTCGATTGTACCCTTTGGGCAGCCACTGCGATACCCCGTGGGGCAACAGGTACAGAGACGTGAAAGCAGCCTCACAAGTCCTCCGCCAGGAGTCGAGCCAGGAGACGAGCCAGAAGATGTCGAACCCTCTCAACGTGAAGGACGCGGCGACAGCGAACAGCTGGAGCAAACGGGGGAGCCCCCGAAAAAGAAGAAGAAGAAGACCCGTCGGGGAGGCAAACCTCGCGTCCATCAGCGTGACCGACAGTGGTACTGAGTGCCCCAGGGCAGGGGGAGTGTGTACCACTGAACGTAGCATGATGTTGTGAATGTTCCACGCGAGCACGAGTGCAGAATATAGGAGTGAAAATCCACGGAGTCCTTGGTGTGCCTGAGTCGTTGACCGGCACTCTTGGTCTCAGCAAGATCGGTCTCGGTGTGCCTGAGTCGTTGACCGGCACCCGTGGTCGTCTTCCCACTACGTGGATAATGCACACGGCTTGTGTTTTACAGTGCGCGCTAGTGTGATCAGTTTAGCGTAGCAGCAGCATGTATGATATTAGGTTGGCTATCGTACTCACGCACTCTGTGCCACGCAGTCTTCTCGTATAGCAGTATATGAGGAATCCAACGGGCTCGAGTCAACCAGGCGAATTTTCCATAGCAGGCGTCGTGGCGACACGACGGCCTGTATGAGGAATCCAACGGGTTCAAGTCAACCAGGCGAATTTTCCATAGCAGGCGTCGTGGCGACACGACGGCCTGTATGAGGAATCCAACGGGCTCAAGTCAACCAGGCGAATTTTCCATAGCAGGCGTCGTGGCGACACGACGGCCTGTACTGAAATGACCTGAAACGAACTGTATCCATTATAGCTCAAGATCGAAGCTTGTGCGCACGTCTGCTGGGAAAATAACCGTGTCTCTGTCACATCATACATCCCATCTGTCCTGCGAGCGCGGCCAACACCCGAATACCGCCACACACGCCAGCACGCACGCCCAGGTTCCAAGGCGACCCAAGACGCCTCCAAGATACCTCCAAGACGGCCCAAGAGGCCTCGAACTATGTGTCGTGCGGGCGTGGCCACAACCCGACGGCCGCCGCGCACGCCACCACACGCGCCTAGGTTCTACTTTGTTGCGCCCCCTTGGGGCGGAAAGTGATCACACCGCCACGCCGTCCCAGACGGGCGTGTCGGCCCATCGGCTATCAAATATATGTCCTCCGAGCGTGGCGAAAACCCGAATGCCGCCACGCACACACACACAAACACCAAAATGGTCTCAAGATGTCTCCAAGACGGCCCAAATGGGCACACCGATATTAGGCTATTCGACATTGGGCTGCGCCGAGATTCGTCCCTCGAATTTCGGCCACGCTCGTGGGACACGTGTGTGGTAAACACGCGGGCCGACCATATTTTACTGGCAGCCGTGGGAATAGGAAGGTCAAAGACGGGCCAGGCGGATACATGTATCCTTACAGCTGCGCCGCGGGCACCCATCTGCCACTAGCAGCGTCCCATTCGACCGCTCCTGTGCCAGCACGCAGCGCATCAGCCAGGTCATCTGCGGGAGCATGCTCCGGCGTTCCAGGGCATTCTTCGGGGGTCGGGCAATCGACCACGAACCCCAGGGAGTCTCCTGGCGAATGCCCATCCACGCTGGGCGAGCCGCCCCCATCCTCAGAAAACCTAAACCCGCGTCGACGTCGTTCCCACGCTCAGAGTGGGAGCCGGGGGACGGGAGCCACACGCCAGCGGACGAGTCGGGCAACGGGTCGACGTCACTGGCGTGCGCCTCGGAGCTCTCTGCGGCCGTGTGCCCGTCCTCGAAATCCACGTCCATGTTGGCATCGTTCACCTGCCCTTCTGTGGAACCAGGCGAAGGAAGGCAAATGCCCCCGAAGAATCGCGCCTGCTCGCCCGCATCCGAATCACCGCTGCCCGAATCCTGCGAAAGAGCACTCCTGCTAGAGGCTACGGTTTCGAAGACTGGCATGCGGAGGCGAAGGCAACTGGCGACGGCCGCCCAAATTACGCCAGGATCTCCCATGGAACATCCATGGCGGCGAAAGGCCCCCCCTCCCCCCCTGAAGACCCCAAAATGAAAACGAAGGAAGATCATCGTTCCCAACATGTTTTGTTGGACCCCCCCGGTGCCACAACCAGGGGCCCGGAAAAAACGAATCCAGGGGGAGGGGGGACACCAAACAAAATCAGCTGGGCGTGCAGTTGCCTTCGCCACCACCGGGGCCGCCTCTGAAAACCGAGCTCCAGGTCCTAATCCGGACCTCGTCCTCCTTAGCCTGCCCCACCGGCAGGAAGTCCGTGCGCCTGAGTTTGCCGAAGATGTGGCACCCAGTCCTCGTCCGGAACCTGGACACTGCCACATATCCGTACCCGCGGGTCGCCACGTGCTTGTTCCATTTCTCATCGAAGTAAATGCATCCACGGTGCAACGAGGCCCCCTGGGCCCTGCGGATGGTGGTCGCGTAGCCGTAGCAGCAAGGCACAAACCGTCGGTGACAACCGTTCGGCGGCGGGCCCGGGGGAAAAGGCAGAAAGGGCGGGCTTTCTGAGAAGGCCGCGGGGCCTCTCAGAAACCTTCCCGCCTTCTGGGAAGCCTTTTGTGGATCCGAATGAAGGCTGACTGGATGGCGGGGGGGGCTTCTGTTGTATCTGTTGTATTTGTTGTATATGTTGTATATGTTGTATCTGTTGTATCTGTTGTATCTGTTGTATCTGTTGTATCTGCTGTATATGTTGTATATGTTGTATATGTTGTATCTGTTGTATCTGTTGTATCTGTTGTATATGTTGTATATGTTGTATATGTTGTATATGTTGTATATGTTGTATATGTTGTATATGTTGTATCTGTGCTATCTGTTGTATATGTTGTATCTGTTGTATCTGTTGTATATGTTGTAGCTGTTGTAGCTGTTGTATCTGTTGTATATGTTGTACCTGTTGTATCTGTTGTATATGTTGTATATGTTGTATGTGTTGTATCTGTTGTATATGTTGTATCTGTTGTATATGCTGTATATGTTGTATCTGTTGTATCTGTTGTAAATGTTGTATATGTTGTATATGTTGTATATGTTGTATATGCTGTATCTGTTGTATCTGTTGTATCTGTTGTATCTGTTGTATATGTTGTATATGTTGTATCTGTTGTATCTGTTGTATCTGTTGTATATGTTGTATCTGTTGTATATGTTGTATATGTTGTATATGTTGTATCTGTTGTATATGTTGTATCTGTTGTATCTGTTGTATCGGTTGTATCTGTTGTATCTGTTGTATATGTTGTATATGTTGTATCTGTTGTATCAGTTGTATCTGTTGTATCTGTTGTATATGTTGTATCTGTTGTATCTGTTGTATCTGTTGTATCTGTTGTATCTGTTGTATCTGTTGTATCTGTTGTATCTGTTGTATCTGTTGTATCTGTTGTATCTGTTGTATATGTTGTATATGTTGTATCTGTTGTATCTGTTGTATATGTTGTATCTGGTGTATGTGTATCTGTATATGTTGTATCTGTTGTATCTGTTGTATATGTTGTATCTGTTGTATCTGTTGTATCTGTTGTATCTGTTGTATCTGTTGTATCTGTTGTATATGTATCTGTTGTATCTGTTGTATCTGTTGTATCTGTTGTATGTTGTATGTGTTGTATCTGTTGTATCTGTTGTATATGTTGTATATGTTGTATCTGTTGTATATGTTGTATATGTTGTATATGTTGTATATGTATCTGTTGTATCTGTTGTATCTGTTGTATCTGTTGCATATGTTGTATACGTTGTATATGTTGTATCTGGTGTATCTGGTGTATCTGTTGTATATGTTGTATCTGTTGTATCTGTTGTATCTGTTGTATCTGTTGTATCTGTTGTATCTGTTGTATCAGTTGTATCTGTTGTATCTGTTGTATCTGTTGTATCTGTTGTATCTGTTGTATCTGTTGTATATGTTGTATATGTTGTATATGTTGTATCTGTTGTATATGTTGTATCTGTTGTATCTGTTGTATCTGTTGTATCTGTTGTATCTGTTGTATCTGTTGTATCTGTTGTATATGTTGTATCTGTTGTATATGTTGTATATGTTGCATCTGTTGTATCTGTTGTAGCTGTTGTAGCTGTTGTATCTGTTGTATCTGTTGTATCTGTTGTATATGTTGTATCTGTTGTATCTGTTGTATCTGTTGTGTTTGTTGTGTCTGTTGTGTCTGTTGTGTCTGTTGTGTCTGTTGTGTCTGTTGTGTCTGTTGTGTCTGCTGTGTCTGTTGTGTCTGTTGTGTCTGTTGTGTCTGTTGTGTCTGTTGTGTCTGTTGTGTCTGTTGTGTCTGTTGTGTCTGTTGTGTCTGTTGTGTCTGTTGTGTCTGTTGTGTCTGTTGTGTCTGTTGTGTCTGTTGTGTCTGTTGTGTCTGTTGTGTCTGTTGTGTCTGTTGTGTCTGTTGTGTCTGTTGTGTCTGTTGTGTCTGTTGTGTCTGTTGTGTCTGTTGTGTCTGTTGTGTCTGTTGTGTCTGTTGTGTCTGTTGTGTCTGTTGTATCTGTTGTATATGTTGTATATGTTGTATGTGTTGTATATGTTGTATCTGTTGTATATGTTGTATATGTTGTATCTGTTGTATATGTTGTATCTGTTGTATATGTTGTATCTGTTGTATCTGTTGTATCTGTTGTATATGTTGTATATGTTGTATATGTTGTATATGTTGTATCTGTTGTACTTGTTGTATATGTTGTATCTGTTGTATCTGTTGTATCTGTTGTATCTGTTGTATATGTTGTATATGTTGTATATGTTGTATATGTTGTATCTGTTGTATATGTTGTATCTGTTGTATCTGTTGTATCTGTTGTATATGTTGTATATGTTGTATATGTTGTATCTGTTGTATCTGTTGTATATGTTGTGTATGTTGTATATGTTGTATATGTTGTATCTGTTGTATATGTTGTATCTGTTGTAAATGTTGTATCTGTTGTATCGGTTGTATATGTTGTATATGTTGTATCTGTTGTATCTGTTGTATCTGTTGTATCTGTTGTATCTGTTGTATATGTTGTATCTGTTGTACCTGTTGTATCTGTTGTATCTGTTGTATCTGTTGTACCTGTTGCTTCTGAGAAGCCCCGCGGCCTTCTGAGAAGGCCCGCCCCTTCTGATTTCCCCCCCGGGGCCGCCGCCAAACCTTTCTGTCGATCCCAGGCATAGATCGGATGCACCAGAACGCGATTCCCTGTGCTGCAGAGAAGAGCAGTGAACGCCTCGTTGCCGTCCAAGCTCTGCTCCACTGTGACCACCGCCCCATTGACAAACCCGCGCTGCTTGTCCAAGTTCCGCGTGAGTCGCAAGCGCAAGCCTGGCCGAGCCAATATCTTCAGCGTGGACTTGCAATCCGGGTCGGGGTCAGCGCCCTCGGCCAAGTCACTGCTGTGGATGCCAAGGAAAGCCAGCGTCTCGCGACAAATTTCATCGGCCCCTGCATTCGTCTGCGTCAGCCACGTGAACGGTTCCCCCTCGACCTCGTCCGTCAGGCTGTGCCCAACCCATCGCTGCAAATCTCCCGTCCAATGCCTGTCCCCGAAGTAAGAGTGCAACAAGGCCCTGCTCGGCTGTTGGGTCCGGATCCCGTTCACGAAGACCAAGTGATCAGGATCATCACTGCGATATATCGTCGTCAGCTCCACCTGTTCCATGCACCCACAGTGCTGCTGACACAATGTGGGCTCGTAGGAATCTTCGCCGCGGTTCTTCCTCAAGTTCACGGGCGTCAACTGCTGGAAATCCCCGACGACCACTGTATAAGGCAGGTGCGGCTGGGAGCGCACGGTCTGGAAGAATCTGGCCCAATCCTGGTTCGCGTACTGGGACGCTTCATCCACGAG